CTGCGCAAACGACGGCTACAACCACCCACCACTTTAACACAGCTACTCTTGCCGCCGCTGCATGTCCAGAATTGGAAAGCTCTACTGGGCACATGGTTACAAAGCTGGATTGCTTCTCATCGGGATCTGTTCCCTTCTCTTTTCATTCCAAAGATCCGGGTTGTGGAAACTCGCAGCGCCACATTGGGCGACAAGATATACAACTATCGCACATGGCAGCGCAAATGGGCGCCTGACACATCCTTTCCGTGTCGCTGTTTGGACATCGATGATAGCCATCTACACCGTGCACATGGTCACGCAGTAATGGTGGATGAGTTTTCTCGCATCAATGCGGACATTAACATTGAAATCATGACCGCCTCAATGAAGGATCAGTTTTTCGGTGATGTCGACTTATTGCATCAACGTTTCACCACACAACTTCGCAAACTTGCTCGCCGCTGGCATGTACATGGTTCCGGTCTGCTTTCAGATCTACAGCCAGTTGTGTCTCAGTTAATGGATACTCATCGGACCAACCTTCAAGATCGGGCTTATTGGTCATCGACATCGTTGCAACGCACTGTGGCTTCTTTGTCTTCGTGGGTAGTCATCCCGGCGGATCATTTCCCCTCCCGCGCACATGTGATGTGCCCGTCCCTGTTTGCCATATTGATGCGGAAGACATTCTGCGCGGGGGATGTCTTCTCACTTTGCCGCGAATCTGCAGCATCCTTCCGCTCTGAAGTGGTAAACACAGTACCTTCTCTCCTACGTCAACGATATGCATGGGGCCTTCGACTTCAAGCACCGTTGCCCACAGCGCGTATCCTCCCAAAGCCGACCAAGGACTGGCAGAAAGCTCGACCCATCATCTCATTCTTTCGCACATGGGCAGCTCCCTTCCTCACGGTCTTCGGTGCACTTATATTTGAACTCACCACGGCAGCCTTCCCCGACATTGCAGGTCAACTCTCAGTACAAGAACTTATCCAGCAGCTGTGGGAAGCACTGTCAAAAGCAGATCCTGATGAGTACATCCACCTGGCGTCGCAAGACTTGTCAGGCTTCTTCACGTCCATTCCTACGGAACGATTCCATCAGGCGCTTCAAGTGCTTCTCCATCGATATGATCAAGTTGTTGGCCTTCGCGGTTCCTCGCAATGGTCCGTGTACGAAGTCAAGTCAGATCATCGACGCCGTATGTTCAAAGGAAAGTGGCGCCGACAAACCAAGATCCCTCGAATTTTTCGTGAACAAGATCTCCGGCACCTTCTGGACTTTGTCATTGACAACAGTCACTTCGAGATCAACGGATACTTGTTCCGCCAAGAACGAGGAGTCGCTATGGGATCACCAGCCGCGCCACCGTTGTGCAATTTGGTTGCTACGGTTGAGGATTTCTTCTGGCACCAAACCATGATTTCTCTGCGGTTTTGCATGCCCGACATTGGTGTGATTTGGCATCAGCGCTACGTCGACAATCGTTTCATTCTCCTTCGAGACTCAGCCCCACACTCACCCGTGCTCATGAACTTTCTTTCCCTGGAATTTTATCGCCCACCAGTGATGCTTGAGGTTCAACATGATGACAAAGTACTGGGTTACCGATGTGATTCTTCCTCCAGAACTATCACTCCACAGCTACCTGATCATCCCTCCCAAATCAAAGGAATTCGGAGTGCCAATGATCGGATGTTCACTTATTCTTCTTGGTCTTCTCGCTCGTGGCTCATCATACGCGGTGCGCAACCGGCGGTTCAACAACAACATGAGCTCGACGCTCTCAAACGCCTTTATGAGGCCAAAGGTTTTGAATCTCACCTTCTGCGGGACGTTCGCCGTCGACTTGGGACAAAATCTGCATGTGAGCTTGTCCTTTTGTCTCTTCTTGTGCATGCTTGAGACTGCTGTTGTTGCATTGCGCTTTGTTTGCATGTAGCTGGCTCAGAACTATGGCGGAATATATGGTCACTAGCACTCTGCGTTCTGATGGATCAATACAAACTACGAGCCGCGTGACGCTCGAGCACCTGCCCAACTTCATCAACGGCAATGAGATCCAAATGTTCATTCGGACTCACGGCATAGCACACCAGCAAAGTGTGCAATCCCACGGCTCGTCACGTGATGTACCAGCACTCACTGAGCAGCCCAGATCGCGTTCCCCCCGGTCACGAATTCCGCGGATCCAGCTCACACCGGGCCCGCAAGGGCATTCGGATGAGGAAGAAGATTGGGGTGAATGGAGGAGTGATGGCAGACGCGCCCATAGTGATCAAAGGAGGCCACGTCCGTTTCCCCCTGCTCATGCCAGTCCTTCTGAGAACCGCATCGCGCTGGTGCCTCTCTCAGTTCGTCGGCAGGTGCCTGATTTGGGGGTTCATCGCTTCAAGCTACGCACTGGGTGTCGGATCGAGGAGATCGCCATCGAAGTGAATGACGTCCTCTACTACACCTTGCCTTCGATTGCCGCCTTGGTATTCCCTGAACCGGAGCTGTTGAAGAAATCATGGGAGTCTGTCTACAGGAGCCTCATGCCGCACCGCCGCAGCATCATAGAAGATGAACAGCGGGTCATGTCCATTTCGGAGTCTCCGTTTGCTCAGCCGCCGCATGGGGTTCCGGGACGCTGGACGGAGCAAGTGGTCAAAGACATCTCGGACTACTTCCAGATCTCTCGGCGGTCACTACCGCAGCAACTCATCGTCCAGCTCGGCATTTGCGAGGAGAAGTGGCCATATATCAGCAGAACCACGCGGACGTTTCACCACTTCTCCGCGGACAAAAAGAACTCGCAGAAGAACCTCTTTGGGATCATCTTCTCATTTGAGCCACGCCGATTGTTGCCGGACAAGCAGCGCACTCAATCGCAGTCCACATTTTTCTGGTCCCACAACACCAACATACAGGCTGCCATGCAAATCCTGCCTGATGAGGAACTGATCCGACCTTCGAAGTGGCAAGAACACCCTTCCCCCAATCGTGAATGCTCCAACTGGAACGAAGTCTGGTTGCCTCCGATGGGATTCTACTGCAGAGGCAGCCTCCAGTCTCAGGAAGCGGCAATCCAATCTGCAGCGCAGTTCGGTGGAATCCGGACGGACCGCCCGGTGTGCATTGGTGGCTCTGCTCGTCTCCGACAACAGCATTGCACTATACCCCGCGGCGGCGTGTACGCGGACATAGCAGCCTCCCACTACTATGACTGCATTCATGCCAAGGATGGCAGGTGGAAACTAAGATCTTCGATCGCAGTGCCCAGCTACATGGGCATCTTCTGGTGAACCATGGTGGCATGCCAGTACAATGGCGTTGCTGCTGACCTGACGTGGTGTGCGCTTTGTTTTTCATGATGTACATCATGACGCTCCTCTTCCGGAAAAACGCATTGAGTTGTCCGTGGCTCATGGTTGACTTTGATATTTCCTTGTGCGGTGTTGCTTGCATGATTGGTTGTTTGCCTTCTGAATGCTTGCCGTCGCCGCTTTTAGTCATCACTGGTTGATTTGGCCCTGGTTGTCTCATCTTTCCGGGATTGTGATGGATCATGGGGATCTGCTACGCGATTGTCGGCACATGCTACTCGCTATGTCATCGCAGATCAGTTTACTTTTGGCTGGACTGCAGCGCCTCGTAGAGGGGCGTGTGTGTGCGGAGTGGCAGAAAACCCTGCCACCACAACCGTTTTCTGTTGCAGCAGGGGGCCAGCGGCCATCAAGCAAACGCTGGCCAACGAAGCTATGCTTGATGGTGGATGCACGGATTGATCACCCGTGCGTACCTGCAACATTTGCGTGATTCTGAAAGTCTATTTGGCCCTCTCCTTTCGCTCGCTGTGTGTGCTTCATGTTGGAACGGGTAACGTTTTCGACACTAGAGTGAAACCGAGTGCATTGCGAGCCGAACCCCACCCACTCGAGACTCATCAGTTGTACTCGAGACTCATCAGTTGTACTCGAAAGATTAGCACTCTCCATCTGGAGTTTAAGTGTGTGTGTGTGTGCGTGGTTTGCTGTGGAAGTGTGTTTTGTTTGCCATTGACCGATGCGTGCACAAATGTGTTGTGTGATGCTGGGTCGACATGTGATAATTGCGATTGGTTGCTTGCTTGCTTGCCTGCCTGCCCTGCCCGCCTGCCTGCTTGCTTGCCTGCCTGCTTGCCTGCTTACGTTGGTTTAATTTGCTTGCATGCTGGTTTGTTGGCTTAATTCGTTTCTTACGTACGGCGGCCTGGGCGCATGGCCATCCGGCGCCTGCGTCTTGAGAACTCACATGTGCCCCCCCCCCCCCAAATGATGGAACCCTTTTTGCCTTCACCTGTGCAGTTTCTTGATCTGAGGCAATAATTGGGCCCCGGGCTAGAACACCCCACAGAACAAAACTCCAGGAAGTCGGCAATGCTGCAGCTCCTTTTCAGTCTGTTCAACATGCCAAGCTCGACACCTCGGAGAAGACTGACCTAATTATTGCAATATTCCATGCTGCTGAGCGAGACTGGGCGACACAATGCCACGCGTGAAACAGGAATGAATGCTGCTCCGTCGGCTTTCTTTCGGGGTCCAACAAGATCAATCCCAGAAGCAGCCCACGACAGCCGACAGTTGCATCTCCAACTAATTGGCCGCTTGGCCGTGCATTGAAATTAGAGCACATTCGTGCTACGCATCCCCTCGGCGAAGGCTGCTTCCTGCAAGGCAAGGAAGGCAGGACTGTGCAACATTTTGCTAGCTGCCTACAGCGCGACCTCACCCATGGCCTGGAGCCCAGGATTTCACTCCAGCGGGAATGGGGACCCACCTTGGCACACGCTTGGGGCTTGAAACCTCGAGGCCTTACTCGGCTCTGCCAGCGCGGCGGGAAAGGCGCTGAAGTAACGCCAGAGCCAGGCATTGGTGAGATGCTGCGGCTGCGGCCTTCCTTGGCGCTGGAGTCACGCAAGTCAAACTTATTGACCAACACCTGCAGCTACGATTCAGAGTGGTAAGGGCGGGCGACCACCCTTTGCATAGGCAGTGGCGAATACGAGACGGACGGCCTCAAACACACAACGACAAAGCCACAAGCACGCCAGAGCGCAAAACGCACCGCGAACGCGCAAACATCAAAAGCAACAACATCACACCCAAATTCACACACACTTGCTAAAAACAGACCTGTGCAAAACACACACGTACACAAACACACGCACACCACACACCTACAAACCCACGCCTACCCGCACACAAGCATGCACACGCTCCCGCGCCCACCCGCCCATCCACCCACCCACCCACCCACCCACCGACCCGCCCGCCCACCCACCACCCGCCCGCAAAAAAATTGGCTTTCAAAGGAGGAGGCGGAGATTTGAGCGAGGTTGTGAGTAGTTCCAGTGGGAAGATCGAGTGGCGAAGCGGATGCAGACGAAAGCTTCACTCTAGGCAGTTCAGGGGAGGGGACCAAAAGAACTTTGTACAACGTCAGCCGGCGCACGGTTGCACATCTCCAACTGCTGAGTGCCTTCGTTTGCGCACATGACGGATCTCTGCCGGTTGGATTCCATGGGCTCTTGATAGTCTTCTTCAGGATCCGTGGAAGAACGCCTTCTCTTCTTGGTCTCCGTGGGCTGGCCCTTCTTGGATTGGCTTGCGTTGACGCAAACATGGACATGCTGAGCGAACTCTTTGATCTTGGTCTCGTGCAACTCTGCATGATCTGACTTGAGATGTTTGCCCATGACCCAAAAGCTGTTCTGAATGATTCATCCTCCCGTATTTTGAATGCTGCACTGAAATTCTGCGGAGGGACTGTTGGTCGGTCAATACTGTCCATTTCTTTGTTATAGTGCGAGTGCAAGATTAACCGTGGCATTTCGCCCGCCAGGTACGTGCTGCAATGCTGCATCCATCGTCTACGCAAGCCATATGGATGTGGACCCTTCCCGGGGCAAGTTCCGGGCGTGAGCCCGTGCTCCAGAATCTTTAAAAGCTCATCTTGGAAGGCCGCACGCAACATGAAAGTCATCTCCGCCTTGTCGAACGGATAGATCTTCTTTCGGCCCTTTTCAACGGATGGAGCTCCTGGATCTTCCTCGTCCTTACTGGATCGGGATTTGTCCTGGCTCTTGTGAATGCTTGGCAAGAACACCCGTTCAAGTGCACCCGCGCAGCACCGCATCAGCCAAATCGTAAGAACACCCGTTCATGCCAGCCAAATGGTAAGAACACCCGTTCAAGCGCACCCGCGCAGCACTGTATCCATGGCAGCCAAATGGTAAAAACACCCATTCCTGCACCCGCGCAGCACTGTTTCCAACAGCTTTCTTAGACCCTTCTTCCTGTGGCAGTAAGACCGCAACAAAACTCAGGCCTGAAAACGCGCTCGGCGACACCCAATCGGACAGTTGTTCTTTTTGTGTTTCTTGTTTGATGTACCTGCTTCTTGCATTTCGTCGTCATCTTCAAGTACAAGTGGAAGTGAAGGTTGCTTTTGTTTAGGTGGAGGCGCGACAACTGTCGGCCGAGTATGAAACTGTAAAACACCAACCCCCCAGCCAATTGAGTCGACTAGTCGAGGAAGCTGGCTGTAAAGCCGAAGAAGATTATGGTTGATGTGGCTGTAGCACTGGTGCGTCTGGATGTACTCCCTGGATGACTGGTGCTTGCTGTGGTTGCCTGAAGCATTGGTTCGTGGGGCGGTGCTGGGTCTGGTCTCTGTTGCTGCGGTGCTTGTGGCATGTCTTGGTCATGCTGAGGGGGTGGTCCAGGTGAGTCGTTACCACCATCTTCGTTTCGATCACCTTTCTGGTCAATCGGTGTTGGCCGACTCGAACGGCATGTAGAACACTAGCACGTGCCACTGTAGTCGTTCCAGTCATCGGTGTGCCGGTAAGACCCAAAGTTTGCGTTAGCTTGCCACAGGAACACGCAAGCGTCACCTGGTGGTGCTGTCAACGGTAAGTCGCTGCCGATTGTACGGTTGTACATGATGCACTTGTTGTACGGTGCGTGAGGTATGCAGAGGCTGGCGCTCGTCATGTTGTACTCCTCGGCAATCTTGTCCAACTCGGATCGAATCTTAGTGATGAATGGTTCGAAGATGTTGTCTAAGAGAAAAACTTCTTTAAGGAACCTGAGAAGGATATGCGCCGTCTCCTGAAGGAATGAAGAAGGATAGGTCTGGGCAAGCTTTCCGTGACTGCGCTGACTCTTTGTTCTTAGTGTTGCCTTTAAGTGGCTCATGTTGGCGCTTTTCCTTTCCAAGGTCTGAATATTGGTCTCATGACTTCTTTGGGAAGACTATGCTTGAGACTTGTTACTTTCAGAAACCAAAGTTTAGTGTCAGGATCACGGATGGTGCTTCACTAACTAACTCTACTATGGACCTTAGTGTCCATATTTCGGACTCCTGAGGGTTCTCAATTTTAAGATCGAAGCAACGCAGTTGGTCACAGGCAAGTACCTGACTCTCTTTTCTGCAACAATCTTCGGATCATTGACACTTTGCATGATCGACCAGGGCCCAAGCCATACAGCGTCCGGTTGTCGCTCACGGATAATGTCCAATATCATCCGACGTCCACATGGATCTTACCTTTGCCCAAGCAGTTCCATGGGCAGATTGGGTCTCACAAGTATGGTCTTCTGTGCAACTGTTGATGAAGACGGTGCAGGTTCTGCGGACTCTTTTCTGTTTATGCGCTTGGCTGGTCGGCCTGCTGCGCTGTCTTGCGCAAATAGATCTTTAAGAAGGACTCCTCGGAGGACGGCAGGTCAAGCCCAGGTTTAGACGGCGGTTTGGCTTCATCCTTCCGGTGGTGTTGACCTCGAGTAGTCTGGTTCCAAGGCCTACGCCAACCATAGTGCCGTGTGTGGAGATTACGTTTGATCTTGGACTTAGCTTCACTCTGGTAGAATACTCTTACAATTAATTGGCTTGGAACTTAGGCGCAGGTGTTGCGCGAGGTCTCGTCCAACATCTTCTAACTGTCGGGCCTCTTGATAAGCTTGTTGCGCAAGTAGTCGAATCTGTCCAGCAGTCAACCCTTCTTCTTTTTTTGGAATAGTCAGATGTGGTGGTGTTGCTACGTCCAGTTACGAGTTGCTTGTAGGTTGCGGCTTGAGTCAGGCTGGTGCAATTCCTGCCCTGATTGAGTTGAGCATTAAGGCGGCTGTCTCAGCCCGGTTCGGCCAGGTGTCATGGGACCTAATAAGTCAGGCCTAATGTCAAGACTATTCAGCTTTTTGTTATGATGCTTGATCGCCAACGACGCATCTTGGCTGAAGATGACATTGATCAAAACAGTTGCGTAGCAAAGGGATTTTGGTGACATCAGTCGTCCTCTTCTACTACTTCTGTGGAAAGAAGTGTAGTGGCCCCGTCAAGGATTGCAAGAACATTGATGCGCTCACCGGTTCCTAAGGGAACTTGGCAAATTAATAAATGTCAACTCGCCGAATGTTTCTGCCCTAAGGCCACTCGCTTCGTGATGGTGCTATTGCTGCCTTCTGACAGGTTCGCATTCAGCCCGGACCTTGTCGTAGAGGCCATGGATCTCCTTCGGCAAGCGCGACGAGCAAGTCCTGAATCTGACCTGCTCTCCTGACATGTGATGCTGTTGCAGGTGGGGTTTTCTTTGTTCTTCTGGTTTTGAACGTCGTGCGTGAATACGTTTGAGTGCAAGTGGATATGTTACAGTTGGAGCATCTGCCGGTCTGCTGGTTTGTCGATGTGAACTTGCTCTGCTGTTAGTGGTTTGTCGGAGAACTTGAATATCGTGGATCCTGACACGAGTGCGACTTGTCCCGTTAAATCTACAATCAGAAATAAAAAACTCCAGGCAGATACAATAGCAACATTATCTTCTATTGAAGATAACTGGCAAATAGAGGCAACTTCGCCATAGACAGCACCAGAGATGTGGACAGGTGCGAACAGTTTTTGTCTTGGACACATGAACTCTATGGAGTTCTTTTGTGGTGTGATTCCAGTGGTTTCCGTTGTGGGTGCCGGTGCTGGCGCTGGAACTGCTAGTTCCTCTAGCGCTGCCTTGGCCGGATATGCTGCAAGCCGTGATGGATGTGCATAGGCTTTGATCTTGGCGTTGTCGAATGCCTTGTTTGCCGTCCTTGCGTTGCGTTGTTTGCAACAGGCTGTTAGGTCAAACTACTGGATACCGGCCTGGGCGGTCGCATCATACCGAATGCCTTGCATGTGACCATGTCAAATTTAGGAATGTGTTCAATCGTCATGTGGAGGATCCGCATCGGACCAATACAAAGCACAATCGGAACCAAGGATATCGAGATTGGTCACCATAGGTGGTGAAGTATTAAAAAACAGTTGGAAGTCCAATCAACCTTGGAGGTTGACCATTGGCAAATGTGAGCAGGATACACTCGTACTTCATCCGGTGAGGATGTGGTTCAACTACCTTCATGAGTCTTTGCACTGCACACCAACGTGCAGCCGTTGTCAAGAATGACATGGGTTGGATTGTCGGCCTGCTTGATGATGGGCGCCATGAGTTAACGGGCCAAAGCTTGAGCTTGATTTGGCGTCGTGCGGAATCATGCCTCAACTTCTACGGTTGATTCGGCTGGATATGCCATGTAACCAAAAGAAACTACTGTTCCTTTCTGAGGACCCCAGGCACTTTGGCCCCCAATCATCCTGGTAAGGCTCTGCCAAAATGTCGACAGGAGCCACGATTTTGGTTACTCCTTTGCCTTTGTCGTCGCCGGAATCCTTTCCCTTATCCTTGGATTTGCCATAGGGTATTCCTTCTCCCTTTTGGTACCAAGGTTGGGGTTTGCCTTTCTTACCTTAATAGAACTGATCGGTGGTGAAACCATCGGCCATGTTGCCTGACTGTTGCTTCTTGAAAGGAGTTGAAAGCCATGCGATAAGCACATGGAAAGCCTCTGCGAGCCGCGGGTCTTCATCGTCTAATAAACAAAAGCCTTCTGCTCCGTTTTCATCTTCTACCCAGGCTCCTGCTTGTCCTTCGTAATGTCCCTGTTCAAGGGTTAAGATGGTCTTGGACCTGTCAGGAAGAACGTTCGGATCCTGAAGAAGTTCTGGTTGCGTAGTACTTGGCCTTTATGGTCTCCTAAGTATACTGAGGGAGCGTGATTCCTCTGAGAGTCGCTGAAGATGCCAATCGTTCCCGTTGGCCATTCTGTCAGCTCGCTTTGTGTGATGTAAGGAATGTTTTTTGATCGTGGCAAAGAATGCTCTTGTTTCTTGGGCAAACCTGTCAAAGCTACATTTCTTGGGGCGCTGCATCGAGGTAAGTTGCGGCTCCTTGCGGCAGACCCTTGTTTTCGTAGTACGGCCGTAGTAAAGGAAACGTACTTCCGGGTCCTCCTACTAGGGCTGGATTTGAGTACGGGCAGGATTCCAGGATTTTGGATTTTTAAAAATCGGTTCTAGTATCAGGGGAACGTTTAGTATTAGGGAGAAGGGATTGCTGTGAATCAAGCGCAGAGCACACGAGGAACAGGGGAACAGATCTTAGGGGGGAGGGGGGTGGCAGGCAACAATGCGTATAATGCGACCGAGCTCCTTGCAACGTCAATATCTGATTGATTTTTCAAATGTTTGAAGTATTTACAGTGTTTCGAAATAAGTATTTCTAAGAATATGTTCGAATTTATATTCTGTTTCTTTTCAACTTTTGTCCATGTCCTTTTCATTCCTTTCAACGTCATTCCAATTCCACTTCTTTCCATTTCTTCGAAGGGCTTTTTGATCTTATTCCAACTCCTTTCCATTTCCGTGCGTTCCTTGCCATTCCTGGCTAGAAATGCCCAAGGCCAGGCGGAGCTGAAAAGTCTTGTTTCGCAATTTCACGCGTGAAGAAACTAGTAGCGCCGGGTTTCCTTTCAATTCTTGCAATTTCCTTAGGCCAGCCAGGGTTAAGAAAGTACCCGTTTCGCAATTTCCAGCTTAAATAATTTGATGGTATTCCCTTTTAGTTTTCTGCTCATGCCGTCCCATTTCTAGCTAATGCCCAAGGAGAGGGCCGGAGATTTCTAGTTTCGCAGTTTCCCGCGCGAAGAAGTTAACATCGCCGGGTTTCCTTTCCATGTCTTTTCCATGTCCTTTTCACTTCTTCGTGTTTCCCTTCTTTCATTTGTTTGCTCATTTCCTCTTGATGCTGATGATGCTGATGATGCTGATGATGATGATGATGATGATCAGGTGGCCAGGCTGGACCCTCTGGATTTTTTCATTGTTCATGTGTTTTGAATATATTTTTCATTTTTTCATTATTCGGCCAGAATTGAAAAACATGAAGCAATCGTAGTCTTGGATTTTTAAATTTGTTCAATTCCTTCCATTTTTTGGCCAGAATTGAACAAATAAATCAACTCACAAATCGTTTTCTTGGATTTTTCATTTTTTTTTGCTTTTTTCAATTCTGGCAAAAAATGAATAATTGAAATTGAAGAATTGAACAAATGAAAACAAAGGGGTCTGGGAAGGGCTCGGATGATGATGATTACGATGACGATGAAAATGATCATGAACATGGTGATGAAAATGATGATCAAAATGCATAAAAGGGAGGGAGGGGGCCGAGAAAGGGGGGAAAGATCTTAGGGGGGAAAGGGGGGAACAGATGGGGGAAAGGGGAACATATCTTCGGGGAAAAGATCTTAGGGGTGGAAGGGGGGAAAAGATCTTAGTGGGGGGGGGGGGGAAGGGGGGAAAAGATTCTGGGGGAGGAAAGGCGGGAAAAGGTCTTAGGGGGGAAAGGTTGCAAAAGATCTTGGCGCGGAGCGCGGGAAAAGTAAGATGTTCAGACTGTACGCTATTGGGAACGTGAAGCCACTCAGATTTTCAGATTTCATCTTTTTCCCTCTCCATTCATGTCCCTTCCCTTCAGCTCCCTTGAATTCCTTCGCTTCTCTTCATTTCCCTTCACTTTCCTTCATGTCCCTGGACTTCCGTGGGCAACATCTCCAGCATCACCTGCATTATCCGCCACGGATGCGGATGATGCAGGTGATGTTGGCGATGTTGCGCAAAGGATGTGGGGGCCCCTGTGCCACAAATTCCCCAGCCCACCAACAGCTGGAGACACAAACAGGCATACACGAAAACAGAAACAAAGACGAAGAAACAAACATCACCACAACAACACACACACACACAGCGCTGCCTGCACCTCCGAGCTGCCGACCGCCCTCCACGCATAGGCGAATACGTGCAAGTTGCTGAAGCCTAGGCTCTTCTGTCAGACTGTGGATTCAGTTGACGTCCTTTAGCAAACTTCGCACAAATGAATCCAACAATGACGTCAAGAATCCAGCTAGAAAATCTTTATGAATCCCGTGCAGAAGAAGCGTTCGCTAAGCCGGGTCGAGTGATGTTCACGTGCGGATTCACAGTCACATGCGCCACACGGGTTGCATGGGCGCTCACAAGGTTATGGGGCATGCCAAGTGGACGGGCTTGCCCTCGAAACGGGGACGCTTCCCTGGCGACACCCGCTCTCACAACAGGCAGTGAGTGCCGATGCCGCACGTCGACTCCAAAAACTCGGGCCGCTTGGCCCGCTGGGACCGGCCCAGGTGGTACAGAGGGCGCCTCTGCCTTGGGCACTCTGCACCGATTGCGTGCAGGCGTGGGAATTTTCATGTCCAGAGATCTGATCGCTGGGGCCGCCTCAGTGTCTGGGCCGATGCACTCGCAAGCATCCAGGTTTCGTGGGGTTCGCATTGCAAAGGTGGGAGTGAACGTGTGGGACAAAGGCCGGTCGCGTGAGGTCGTATCGGCCGGGCATGCGCCGACAGTTCCGGGCATCGGACCTGCGACTGGTGAGCTCTTTCTCGGATGCCCTTCGCAAGCCCCAGCCCTGCTCTTCAGAGCCTGGTGCAAGATGCGAGCAAGCTGCAAGAAGTCGTAGCTTTCGCCACAGCTCTGGTACTTCAGGGGGAGAAGCGTGACGATGTCGTCATGAGTCAGCCACTGTTCCAACAAGCGGGTCAACAAAGTGGAGTTCTGATCTGCCGGCAAGCCCGCACACATTGACCGTGCCACTGCACGAAGAGCAGCCAGGCTCTGTGCTATACTGGTATCGATGCTACTCTGCTTGGGGCTTGGGGCTGCTACGTCGACAAAAGCTAAGACTGCCTCGGCATTGGCCCGGGTGATGTAGAGCTGAAAGAAGACATGGCCCCTGGAAGTCTCTGAGTTCGACGGCAATTGCTCGAAATGTCTGCGAGAGTCTCCTTCAAAGAGAAGATTATACGCCTCACGTTCACTCCTCACAATGTGGCGTGTAGCCGACTCGGCATATGCCTTGCTCAGGAGGTCTATGACTTGCTCCCGGTAGATCTCCTGAAGCGGTAAACAAACATTCTCAGCATCAGCCCGAGATATCAGGCACTAATCAAGTGCTGCTAAGACTCAAAGAAAGACACTGCCACCCGGAAATCTTCGCGATCTGTTCGTGCAGCCAATGTCTCGAAGACAGCTGAAATGCTCCTGGGAATGAGGCCCCTGTCATCAAAGCGCTTGGTGCCTCCGGTCATTGTGAAGGTCTTGCCCCCGCCGCTCGCGCCAACCGCCAGGAACAAGCAGTTGGCCATCCGCTCAAAGACGTCCTGCCAGAGACGATGCTCAGCTCTGCGTTATCCATGTTCCCTAAGGAAACCGAAAGGAAAACTGTGCAAGCTGCAAAACTGGTCTTGAGTGAAGCAAGCGAAAGCAAAGGTTCCTTGATGGCAGGCCGTGCTACCTCCTGATAGATCTGCGCCTGTCCCGCGCTTGGCTCGAAGACGCGGTCAAAGGCAAAGTCTCGCAGCCCATCCTCCACGCGCCACACATGCCACACACGCCCACATGAGTACGCACATGCTGTACTATGCATTGGGCAGTGGAGCGCGGGCGTCGCAAGTGCTCCTGCCTGGCCCGTCTTGAACTCGCCTTGAAGCACAAAAGCGCAAATGGCACACAAAACGCCCTTTTTGAGCAATCGACAAGCTCAGCCTGGAAACTCTATCGTGACATCAGCGCGACTGTAGCCGAACTTTGCGTGAGAGACCGAGTCAGGGTGGATGATGCAGTAAGAACGCGCCTTGCCGAGGAACAAAGCAACATACAAAGTGCAAAGCTCCGGAAGTTAAGCTCTGGCCTTGCCCATGGATCCCAAAGTCTTCACTATGAGCCAAATGTACTCCACACCACGGGGGTTCTCTCTGTCTCAATTTTCAGGTGAAAAGGTGCTACCCGTTGCCGGCCACGACCGCAATTTTCCAAGGCATGGCATGGGGCATCAAAGCTTGACTCTGGATGTCCCCGGTCTGAAAATCCAGAAAAAACACGGAATGCATAAAGTTCACGCAAGCCGCATGCAATGGACCTAACTTCATTCTACTTCTGTGCGGGCCGTTGCTTAAAATGGCAATGGCTTCAGTTCAACTCTGGACAAATATCCGCTTGAAGACCAAGTCCACTTCTCCTGGCAACCAGGAAGGTGATACTTCAACATTCAAGAGGTCGGTTGCCAATGCAAGCTCTGCGGGCCCTCGGCGTCAATGAGATTCTGAATAGCTTCTTCATATGGCTTGCCATCAACCTGAGCATCGAGCAATATCGAGCATGCCTTTGCGGGTCAAGCAAAGAGCCGAGCGAGCCAGTGCGCGAGCGCTGGGCCTCCACTCCATTCACCTGGGCCAAGAAGTCCCCAGCCTCGACCTGCGAAGAGACGAGACGAAACGGCACTTGAAAGCTGCGTGCGGCCCTGCGGCCGTGCCTCGCCGTTTTCGTACGCCGAGCCCTCCTTGAAAATTCCGCTCACCCAGGCCCGGTTGGGATCTTCGTCACCTGGCCACTCCAAGATTTTCCGACGCAACTCGGAATTGCCAAGGCACGTTTCTCGAATTCGATGCCCATAGGCTTTGCAAGCTTCACCTGTCAGCTCGCTTCCCTGGTGTTCCCTGGTGGTCCCTGCTCCCTGATAATCCCTGGTGTTCCCACGGTCCTTGATATCCACAGTGGCGGCTTCGCGGCCCACGACCTTGCACAGACTCCAGTCCACTGAGTTGGCTTGGGGCTGAGGATTCTGCGCTAGTCATGCCTTTTCGCTGGGCGGCGTTCCACATCGCCAACTGCGAGGCGCCGCATTTCACACTCACATGCCGTGCGATGTCCCGCCTTTCGCAGTCGGACTTTCCTCTCCTGTGCTGTTTCTTTGTAGTTGGGCTGCGCCTTCCTGTCCGGCATCCGGCATCCAAACTCCGGCCGACAAGCGATTTCGGTCCTTTTTCGCGCAGCGATGCGCTCCATCTGCCTCTCATAAGCAGCCTCGGAGACGGGTATTGGCTGCAAGGCAATCCGAGCATCTGGCCTCCTTCCAGTCATACCTTGGATAGGAAGATGGAACATTGCAATGTGCAATCTTCCCATTTCTCAACTTTCTTGTCGCGTGTCTCCTGCTGCTCTTCAGCCTTTTGCGCTTCTTCCAGCGTGGACGGGCCCTTCTTGCCCGGCTCCTTAGATCCGCTGACCCGGCGCCGCGCAATGCGTATGCATCCAGAATGGGGCGTGCCTCCGGCTCCCCAAAGATTCCCATGAAGCTTTGCCCAACCTGCGCCAGCGAGAAATCTCTATAACTCAAAGGAGAGGGAACCACAGTTTTCTCAACAACGGGGGAACCCGGGACCTTAAAAGGAACGAACCCCGCCGTGACTGCAACCTCTCTTAACCTTGTGGCAGCGCGTGCAACGCGCTCTTTTCCTTGAGCCAAATGACAACATGCGGACATGTTGTCCAGTCTTGCAACTTGTATCATGGGTTCCTACCTCATGAACCTCTGGGCCATAAATGTCATCGTGATAATTGACTCCCCCCTCATTGACGGCACTGAGGGAGTGTCTTGGGCGCATTACCACGCCAACTTGAAGTCAAGTTTACATCACAACGACTGACGCAAGTTATTCAAGCATCGCCCAGTCACTTGCACACTTTTGGAAATTTTGTGGACATGCTGCAGCGCACTAGGCAGCTGCTTTAGCGGATCTGCTTCTACGAACGTCTTCAAGCTTCTCTGGGAGGTCAACACGAATGCCGAGCAACCTGATGGCATGGTCCCACTTGTTGGGTGGAAGTGCTTTCGTGAAGATGTCTGCTGACTGCATGTCTGTTTGGACGTATTCTATTGAGATGTGTTCGCTTTCAAGCTGCTCTGCGATGCAAGCGAGGTTCACCTTGTGCGTGCGTTGTACACAGCGTAGCTTGGATGAGAAACGCTACGAGGATGGTCGCCTGATTGTCCTCGTGGATCTTGAGATGGAATGGTCTGTCCAAGATCAGCTCCCATAAGCTGAGCGCAGGAAGTGCCTCCTGGTACAGGGAGTACGCAAGAGACACGATTTCCGCCTCGGTTGTCGATCGGGAGACCGAGGTCTGCCTTTTAGACACCCACGCGAGGGGGAAATGCGTATGTGGACCACTCAAAACCAAGAAGCCTCCGGACGTTGACTTTGCGTCTCGTTCTCCAGCGAAATCAGCGTCCACATAGAGAGACAGATGCAACTCATCAGTCGAATCCTGAACTGTGCCAACTAACGTGCTGTTAACCGTGCTGTTTATGTAGCAGACAAGCCTATGTAGCTGCTTATCGCAGTTCCTAGACCATTTCTGAACAAAGGAAGCAAGGTCGCCAATGGGCTTGACCAGGTCCGGGCGTGCCAAACGACCCAACCATAAGGCTTTCATCAACACGCGGCAAGCGGCGAAGCCGAGCTCACCCTCCAAGGCGTCATCTGCAGGGTCTAGAGATCCAGCGGGACAGAATGGAGTGGTGGCATCACGCAACTTTTCAGTTTTTAGCTGTGCAACCTCAAGATATAATGCAACCGTTTGACGAGCATAATCTCGCATGTCGAACGCCATGCCCCCTTTCCATCTGCCCATTGCGGCATTAAGATCGGGTTCAGTTGGGTCCTTTGGAGCATCTATCAAAAGGTGATTCCTGCCTAGCACCCGATATATGTCTTCTGGGGGTTCTATATCAACCAGTCTTGTTAACTTTTCCCAGAAGTCTTTATGAAGGTGGCTGGGGCCGGCCAACGTCAAGTCGTCGACGTATGTCGAGAGAAGTAACCCGGACTCCTTGAACCAGAAGTTTCCAGGAAACTCTGCGACCTCACGCCCTCCAAGTTCACTAATGAAACCTTTGAGGTGTGCCTCCCAGAGTCCGCCAGCGTCAGGAGCTTTAACGAGCAAAACCACAGGTTTCACGAAACGCTCGCGCCACCATCTTGGCCGGAGCTCAGGCGGGAGTGTGATCCAAGTTTGGTACTTGGATTTCAGCAGTGCTTGCACATAAGCCTTTATAGCGTCCGCTGTTGTGGTGGAGTTCTCTGGCAGGGATCCATAAGCGAGACAGTTATTAAGACCTTGTACGCTCGTGGGATTTGCTCCCAGTTCTTGGTAGACGGCTGCTGCGCCATGTTCGTCTTTCGCACAGTCTCCGCGATACACAATCCTACCTTTCATCTTCTGAAGGTGTTTCGCGAGTTCGGCGAACTTGACGGATGCTAGCGACATCAACTGCCCGAAATGAACTTTTATACTGGATCGTCGCGCCTCAGCAGCGACTTGATCATACTCTCGGACTGAATTTAGTCTCCAGGCCTGTGGCTTCAAGTCGAACGGCTTCAAGGGCTTCGGCACGTGACAAGAGTCTGGTCACCATTGCGGTGATTTCAGGATCCTTCTCCTCCTTGACTTGTCCTAGGGAATGTGCGATGAGATTTTCAACATCAAGAACTTGTTCAAGGATGTCGTGACACTTTTCATCGGACTCGACAGCAATACCTATATCTTCCAAACCAGAGAGAGGGGATATGTGTTTTAGCTGCTGTTCACGTTCCCGGTGGTCGAGAGGCAATGGCACTTGGACAGGCATCGCAGGCACAACGGGTTGTACTGTCGGATACAGCGCACGGGCAACTGTGAGACACATGCCTTCGGGGTAGAAAGCGGTCTTTGCGGTCTTGTTACCTGCTGCAAGCGAGTGTTTATACCCTTTTTCGTGCGGACACTTGAATGCACTTAGCGCGGATGCGAGGGTGCTATTGCTGGTCATGACTTTCCATGGCTTTTTGATGGGGTAACCATTGCTGTCCTTCAGACCTAGGGCGCAACCGTGGAAGGTCGCTGGGGTGAAGACCTGTGCGTATTCCCTAAAGAATGCAGAAACATCATCCCTAGCCCAGCTGTCGCAATCCCTTGGCCATTCGAACGAAACACTACCCCCCTGATGGAGGACAGTCTCAGCGTGACGTCTGAATCTGGAGAACAACTCTCTCGACTCTCTAACCTTTTGTTTCAGTTTCTTTTTGAACTGGCTTCCTAACTTGGCCTTATTAAGGCGTTGTCATGCTGAACCTGATGTGCAGGGGATTGCAGCCCAGAGATTGGGTTTATCACACCCTTCTATCTGTGACTGCAATTGGATTTCTCCTTCATCTGTGCTAAGGTCGATGAACTCTTTGGCCAGCCTAACATGAGGTATGCCAAGACCTTCAAACACGGGACCCATATTGGACTCTGGTGAACATGCGTATTCGAACATCACAGGCAACTTATCAATGCGTGCCTGTCGCTTGCGGGCACGATGGTTTCCTACCTCAAACCGCTTGGGCTGTGGAGCTTCAACCTCTGCGCTGCACGGCGTGCCAAAAATTGGCAATGTATCTGGACGGCCGTTCTTTGATCGGTGAGAGGCGTCGGCGGTACGGAGTCCAACATCACGGCTGCGCCTGTGGTGATAACGCAATCGGACTGAATGGGTTTTAACTTGAACACGGTGAACCCAGTCCATGGATCTCCAAGTGAGCGATTAGGTCGGCTACCAAACCAACCATCGTGAATGTTGTCTGCTTTGCCCCCCTGAAACACGGCACGAGTGGTGCGAGCTGCAGTAAATCTTTCTGGGGAAACGGGGCAATCCTCGACCTCCTTCGGGGTAAAAAGATTCTGCCTTGGCATGATATGGTACCGAACCAAACAATTGGCATTTTCTTTGAACACCCAAAAATCTTCACCTTGCGATGTAGCGGCTGTCGCTGGCGCGGAATCGAAAAATGAGGCACCGGGTCTTGAGGGAGCGGGCTCCCCGGCTTCGGCTGCATCAAATTCATGCGCAACATCTTCTGCAGTAACTGCGA